GTCAATTGTCTCCATCATCAAGAAAACTGCAGACCTTCAGTTGTTATAATACATACAGGTACAAAGTGTTCATCAATATAAATGAATTAAGTTCAAACACGAAGTAGTTACTGTAAACCGTTCAGGAGTTCCCTGAGCTGTCCTTCGTTCTCATCATCAGACCCTTAATCTTAACAGTTACGACCAAGCCTGCTGCAAAGTGCTCGCCAATACGAATCATTCAAGCCCAAACACAAGGCAACTACTCCAAATAGTCAAGGAGATCCCTCGACTGTCTTCCAGCTCCAACATCTGGTCGACTTCGACCTTCGTCAAGTTGTAGTGTTATTAAAGGCCTACTTAAACATCATACAAAAAAACTACTCGCCCCTACAATTTTCGAAAGTTCCCCTCGGTTTCTCCAGGATTCCATCATCAGATCCTGACCTCATGACAATGGGACCAAATGGCAAGTATACCCTATCGAATAAAAAAAGAATTTTGCAAATCGGTCCAGGCGTCTTCGAGTAATCGGTGTACATACATAAAAAAAAAAAAAAAAATACGCGTCGAATTGAGAACCTCCTCCTTTTTTGAAGTCGGTTAAAAACTCACCCTCTTTCAGAAGCTATTGAGCAATAAACTAACGATTTTACTGCTAGAAACTAGTAAACACATAGAGTACACACACCATTACTTAACTTTTTATGATGCACTTTCAATTGGACGAAAGACCAGTTCAAAATTAGGTTAGTTGCTTCCAATTTAAAGTGTTGTCACCAATGACAACAATAACACAGTCGGGCGCCACCAAATGAGGTAAGATTCCGAAATCACGGCGTCGGACGAAAAAGACAAAGTAAAAAGTTAATATAAAAAGTTGTTTTGGGACCAAATGTCTGTGGATGTCAGTACTAAGTAACCAACACACTTCACTTCGTACCTAACAGATATTTACGCCGCATTTGCGCGACGTGGGTTTCCTTTGACTACTAAAAGTGTAATCTTTGGAAGCCAAATCCTTCTTCGGTGTATTCTTTGCACAAAGAAATTTCTACGTGAACGAATCGCGCGAGTAGTGCAGTTTCTTAGGAGAGATAAGCGTTAGTATTCTGAACGGTTTTCATAACTCACGCAGTTATTATAAGCCATAATACTTACTTTTAAGGTTCAGAATAATTTGAATCATAAAGAGGTATTAAAATAGCTAGCTATTAATACAAAATATTGAAGTTCAAGCTATGGTTTTCATTGTTCCGAGTTTGGATTTTATGTTTATTCTCCCCAAAGGATTAGACTGAAATGAATAGAGCAGTACTTAGTATTTGTACGTTCATTTGAATTTTATTTATATTTTCCCTTATTATTAATTACTTTGTTATAATAAATAATGTGTCTATTGTTACATACTAATATAGAAGCTGTGCTGCTTAGAATGTGCAAATTTACTCTCGAAAGTAATAATTTCGGATTTTAATTTCGTGAGGTGAACTCAGTCAGGAAATGGACTGGAAGACATTAAAGGGTATAGCTACAGTTGATACAAAACCATGCAATTGTGTTAAACAAAATGTTAAGTCTCAAGGCGATCGAGTAGTGGAGGTCATCCTGTGCTTGTATGTCAAACGTAAATATTTAACAATTTTGTATTCTTTGTGCTTTATGTGCGGTCTTATTTCAATTTATTCTGAGTTTGTTAACACGATTAGCTTAATGCTTCTTTATTCACAATCCTTTTAGCAATAAAACCTCAGTATATATGTATATGTTTTATTTGTCAACAGAGGTAAAAATAACGAGTACGTCATAGTTTTATTTGTCGAATTTTATAAATCCAGCTTTGGTGTTAAGTGAATGCTCAAACCGAACATAAAATCTTTAATTTATGGTACTCACTGTATTTGGTAAGGCAATAAAATTATCTACCCCAAATATTAAGTTGTTGAAATTACCCAGTCAAGAGTTATACAAGTTTTATTAATTAATTATGTAATCAGAATTACTCCAACATTTACTTTGGAATTGTTGTTTTCTTTATGAATTATAAACCGAAGTTTAAATTAATTCAGTTCAAGTGTACACACAGCTGAGGAATCAAACCAGGAGAGTGGTACTTTAATGGCCATCAAAAGTGTAACAAAACGCAGAGTAAGGTCTAATATAGGTCTGTAGTGGAACCAAAGGCAAACATTTAAAATTTTACGAGCCGGATGCAGCCAGCCAGCGCGGCAATAAACTGAGCTCAACACACCACTCTACTAACTGACACTGATCGAGTTTTACACAGTTTACTGGGGAGGCGACATGCTATCAAATATCTATCACGTTGCACCGCCAACAAATATGCCTGAATATTGCTTTTGCAACGACATATTTAAATTTCATCCAGGTACTAGAACATGATAGTCGTACCTACGCGTACTGCAAGCAGTAGAAATTAGCGACTGCCGTCGACCAGCTAATTACTATTTCATCATACAATTCCATCGTTTCGCGCTATGCACAAGTGATAAATGTGCTGCCCTATTTTAAGGCACTAAATGCCAATTTTAGTTCACTGAACGAATTGGACCGGCCTGTAACTAGGTACACTATCGTTACCTACCAAACGGGCGCATTACATATACAAATTTAATGATTTACAGTTGTTATTACATCTGCGTCTGTTTCTAGCAACAGCATTGACATTCGAATCAATGAATCATTATTTTATTTGGTTTTGTTTCCAAACAGGTTATGTTGATACTTCCACTAAACACTTTGATCGAAACTTCGAAACGTTCGTTGCATTCTGTTTAGAGTTACCTTTTTTTGAAGTCTACTTTAATACTGACGTAGTCGACATTGCTCAGGGAGTTTTTCTACTGGTTTGTGATGGCGACCGGTGTGGTGTTTGTGAGGTACGGAGCCAAACACTCCCAAGTATTTTCCAAGCAGCTAAAAGCATTTAGAGTATTTTTGTTTCCACGCGTCGCCAAAAAAGAGCTCGATCCAATAAAATCGATTTCGCGAAAGATGCTCGATAGAGTATCCAATCCAATAAAACTAGATTTTTGTACAAAAACTGTTCTGTATAGGTGACATCAATGTGATCAATAAACAAAGTTTAAAGTTAGAACATAGCTTGAAGGCCTGGCAGTATTGTTAAAATCACTTTTGAAATAGAAACAAACACAAAACCGAGACTAACATTCAACCGAATGATTTTTCATATTTGAAGTAATAAATTAGAGACGAGTGGGCATGACAAAACCTGTTATCTTGAGTCCCAATAGCCAGTGGCCAGAAATCGCTTACTCACACACGCACGGCCAGTGACTTCATAGTTCGTGCTTTATTGTTACCATTCTATCAAGCAATAGAATTTTATTTTAACAAAGGTGATTAAACTGGACGTGTTGTAGTTTGATTTAAAAATACAAATATTGTTTGACTTTTGTAAGTCGTAAACAATCAGTAAAAATATGTATGCCTTAAACGAATCATTAGTGTAGTTGTGTGTCCCTGAACGTTGTATCTAAGATACTACTTATGCGAGTAGTAACCGTCAGATCCCTTTGTTGTCAATCATTCATTTTAGATTAGTGTGAATTTAACACAAATGCAGAATGATTCTAAGTCAAACATTCGATGATTGGGCCCAGCGACGGCTCGTAAGCTTCTGTGCATTCCAAATTCGAAATAATCCAGTTATGTTTGAAATCGGCTCACGTCAATCAATTTTTCACGAAACTAAATTTCAATTCAATTAGGGGATTATTCAGTCAATTATTAAGTTAGTCAATTAGTCGCATTAGTTTTTGCACTCAGCATCTCGGGAACTTGCTAGTCTAGTAATTTTATGCAAAAATAAAACGATAAATTAATATTCAAATATCCCAAAATATGTATGCAACTTAATTTTAAATGCAAATTATGTCTCATTATTCCACAAAATGTTTTATGATTTCTTTTAATAAACGGACGCACGTAACGGTTGTTTTATTGTTAAGGCGTGATAATAGGCTTGTATCAGTAAGTTGTCGAGCGAATGAGCATTTCGCCGGGTGAGCTGAGCGCTCAGCAGCGTGACCCGTGAAACTGGGTTACGCTCTCGGTGCCCGCCTACCACCCGTCCGAAGCCAGTTGCAGCATAAGTAAGATACGCCAATAACACTTACAAATAATATTCTTGTTATCTCTACGGATACGGATGGACAAGTTTTTATAGCTTTTGATGTATTACTTGCCTCACCTCAACCTCAACCATAAACATTGCTGTACACGTGCTTCTTCAGATGGCTATATTATGAATAGTGATTGAAAAATAAGCCTAAACTCGATAAAGGTCGAAACATTATCTTTATCTGCACAAACAGCAGGTAAACCGAATTTTATCTAACACTTTCAATACTCGATCCACCCACATTTGTACCTATTTGACATTTAATTAGTTTTTCAGTGGAAGTGTCAAGACATGGTTTAATATCCACCTAATGACTACTATGTACTACTGCTACCTACAAGTTCTTCGAAAATTTGTACTCAGTAACAGGTCTTTACCATAAATACTCAAACCTATTTGAGAAAACGGTCCGTGGGTAATCCTTTAATTAGTAACTAAATTATAAAGACACCGTCATGGCTTCAGTTTAAAAAATATGCCAACTTATAACTACAGTAATGTTTTAAATTCTTAATAAGTATTTAGGTTATTCCTTTAGTTGTCTTAAAATAATGACAAGTTTTAAAGTTCGAAGTTAAATTTACCACAATGAAGTAATTAAAACAAACTAATTGAAGAATTGAAACGTTACTTTTTACTTAGTATTACAAAGTTACAGAGTTTAGTGTATGTATTTACATTAACTTTAAGGCAAAGTAACCGGATTTGTTTGAAGTCATCCTCGTAACGTGTCTGGGGTAGGAACCGGCTTTCAGTGGACTATAAATCACCGTGCACCGTTCTAAGACGCGCGCTGTCCATTGTTGTTTGCCGCGTACAAACAAAAGCTAAAATAATCAACATCTTAGCGCCTTACCTCTAATAGGAATCCTCGAGGGCGACGTCCCTCCAGCACGCCGGACGAAACGGGCGGCGCGTACCCAACATAAACACTGCACCAAACGGTTAAATCATACGCTGAATAAGCGAATTTGCAGCCGATCTAATGTCAACACTGCACTGTCACTTTGTTCTATCACTGAAATCCAATTGGTTCGTTTGTTTTTAGTCAGTATTTAGAAATAAGTACGCGCATGTCAGATGAACGATAGCGTTAGAATTTTTTGTTTCTCTCCAATAGCATCTCCCAAGACTGCCGCTCGATGACTGGCGAGCCGGGCGCGCGCCGTTCGTTTGGTCGGATATTCATGACACGGGCCTAGCGGGGCGCGGAGCGGTGTGCGCGGGGCTGGGGTGCACGCCTTCTTTGAATGGTAGTGTAATAATAAGTGAATGAATGAAAATAAACAATGAATTGAATTTTAATATTTTATTATTGAAACTGAAACTAATTGTAAAAAAATTAAGGTCCTTAACCTTAAATTTATTTTGTCATGTAAGTTAATGAAACATCTATTAATTACACTGAAAGTGATTTATGCTTAGGTAGGTACTCAATGACGATTTTTTATCAACCGCTCATTTAATCTCTTAATACTAAATTCAAAATAGAGAGTTCTTACAAAGGTGATAAGCTAGTGAGCAAATTATCTTTTATGCGGTTTGTATTCTTGTTATATAGCCTGTAGGATTAGCCATTTATTTTGGTTGGAAAGTTGTATGAGTAAGAAAATTAATATATTCTGTGCTATCCCACGATGTGCCACCTAACTTACATAATATCTAAGCACGACCTATCTTCACAGACAACTAGACTTGTAAGTATTGTTTATTTTTGTTTCTTGTGTATTTTTGAACTGTTTAGATAATATTGGACAAGTGAATATTCGTTAGGAATTTATTTTTCACAGATAAAGATTAAAAATTTACAATCTCGTTGCATTAAAACAGAACTTGCAGTTTCCAGGTTATGTAGGTAAGTGAAGGTAAAATGTCTTAATCCGGATACAGACTTATCAATAGCCAGTATTCAACATTAGCACTTATTTTTTGTACTTTACAAGTTAATTAAGTATCAAGTAATCTAGATCTATCTAGGTATTAATATATGTTTATAAGTGTGTATGTAATTATGGCGATCGTGAGAGTTTATTACTAAAAGTAGGTCGTGAACCAGACATCCTGTCTAGTCTAGTCCATAAGCAACTTTCTTCATAAGTTACCCTTTTTTAAAACTAGATAGGTAGGTATTTGCTTGTACTTATATTGTTGTAGTTATATAAATTAATGTTATGTTATTTATTTACAGGAATTCATGAACACCTTAAAACACTCTTGATATATTTTCTCGCAAATAGCTCATCGACAGGAAAAAAATAAGTAAGTACCTATAAATTTTGCATTAATTACCTACCTATCTATAGGTAAGTTAGTACATAAATAAATGAAGGATGAAGATCTTTTATGTATTTTCCGATATTTGTTCAACCAAACAAGGCCAAATCAAGGAAAAGGCATACATTATAATCGCATTAAAACTTGGACACCCACACAGTTTCGTCAACAATCATGCCCATTTCTGTCGTATATTTTAATGGAACGTATAGTTAATTCCCTCATTTCGCCACAATTGCTTTCAATTTATATAAACGGGTCAATGAATGCAAACAATATTATTGTTCCGAGTGCTGTGAGCTGAAGTGTTGTGCAGTGCATGATGGCGGTGTGCATTAAATCAGGTACAAGTGTGTGCATATGTCTGCTAATCTTCTATTTGACAGCTACCATTCAAGCAGGGACGTAAATAGCTGGCATCGACGTCAATGCGGCCGATGCCCTCCCTTACTTGAAAACCAATCATACGAATATTGCAAGGTATATCTACCTATGCGTACATTTACCTTGCCTGACTTTCCTGTACGTTTTTTATAAGTTACCTACAACATTACCTACAACATTATAAGAAACTACTCAATGGAACAACATCAAATTCTTGTAGGAACCTAATGGTAAAGATAGTGTCATTCTTCCAAGCAAACAGGCATTGAATTGATTAGTATTTCTTCTTCTACAACTTCGAGCATGATTTACCTATGAGTACGTTTAATTTAATTCCATTACAGCCTGCATATTAAAAAAAAATTCAACACAAATTACTGGTTGCTTTAGTTTGACAGAAATTTTGTTTAATCTGTGGTCTCACTCATCATCTGTGGGAAGGTCCAACTCTGCCCACCTGTATACAAACGCGAAATAAACTTGATAACAGAAAAACAACTTCGTTTGTAAACACGGATAAAATTAATGGCCCGGTGTCAAAGCTGAAGCCATTAAGCATGCGACATCACATGTTGATTAGTTTCATCAACACCTACGTTATGGGCCAGTACCGGGGTACCGGGTGCCGTTGTCGTGCGAATATATGCCAGCAATTTACTGAGACTCCGAACGGAGTTATTCACGTAACGAAGCGCTCAACGACCGACAGTTTTTGCTTTTACTAACTTGCACTAGCTATGCAGCGACTGCATCAACAAAGGCTCACATTAACGAGTTTTCTAGCTCACTTTAACATCGATGGTATCAAAATATTATTAACTCGCTGATATTTTTTCCAAACCTAGGTGCAAAATGTGTTCTGCTACACGGGTTGTTATTTGCTGACCATAATTGCGAATTTGATAATAGTAAATTCTAAATCGTAGCTGAACATGAGATCACGTGCATTTGACGGTCTTCCAAGTGGGTGACAAAATAAAATATTGAGTATTATTATATTTCTTCAGTAGGTACTTAAGGTATGCAATTATCATTGCCAGTGTGGCGCCCATGGCGTAGAACAGAAGAAGGAAGCAGTGAGTTTTAGTAGGACTTGTATACTCGGGGAATAAAATTCTACTTCTCGCCCCAGGCACTCCCTCTCGCCGCACGCAGCTCGAGAGAAGTCATTTTATGACTTTCCATAATAATTTTAAAAAAGAGCTTTAATTATGCTTGGTCAAAATATTAAACTTCATCATTAGCTAAAAGTGTTCGGTATTCGGTCGACGTAGTCTCCATTAGGTGAAACCTCCTAGAACCAAACACGTGTTAACTATCAAACCAAATAGTTACACGAGGAAATCTCCACAAAAGTAGGTCAACTATCCTTATCTTAAAAGGAAAACTTAAGATTTAGCTTTTCATAGCAGCTCCACAATTACACTTCTAAATAAATATTGCTATGTTTTTCTAGCTCATTATACATACAGTCAGTCGTCAGTTCCTTAAGTTATATTATGCAGTCGGTCTTGTTTACTACAAGGCAAAACTTTTATTTTTCTTAAAAGAATTATTCATGAACGGATGCAGCCCAAGGAAGGCACTTTAAAACATTTATTAGATTTGTAAATTCGAAATCTCTTCATGTCGCCGTAATAAGATTGAATCTGAATGGAACCTTAAACAGTCTTTTTACCAAATGATAAAATAAATAAATTTATCTAAGTTGGTAATATTGTATAACGTTGCACTTATAATTTATAAATGTAGAGTGCCTTTTAATTAAAATGCAATAAAAAAGTTTTCAAGTTATCGGTTAAAAATGGAGGTACATAATAAAAATTTGCGCGTGCTATTCTTCTATTCTACGAACTACGTGTTCTCTATGGTCGATTGTCACATGGACAGGTTAATTAGGTACCTACATATTTTCAGGTTTTCACAAATTTTCTGTCAAACCTAAACAGAATTTTTAAGGTACGTACCGTGTCGTAAATGTTTTATAACGAGAGAATATTTTATGTCCATTCTCAATCAAGAACAGCTGTTGCTTCGATATTGTAAATTCGACGTAATGTTACATTATGAACGCATGCAATCTCTAGTTCATTGGTCAAATATTGATGTTACTCAGGACCAGATGAGAGTAACGTCGAGTCTGATAAAATCGAATTTGTTAGCAGACGACGGCGACGTCGATAATATTCCATCTTGGCTCCTGGCGCGAAAAATTTACAATCTTTATGGATATACTCGTTTACTTATCCTTGTGCTTATATTTTTGTCGAAACATTTTTATACAACACTGCATTTCTTATTTTTCCTTTGTTGGTACCTAATTTGAATTTGGAATTAATTTATTAATATTGTTATACCTAGTACCTATAGTCTACACGTGATTACGTATTGTATTGTCAAGAGCTGAACAAATGGTATGTTGTCAAAATACTAAAATTTGAAGTTGATTAAAGTTAATCCCATTATCAGAAATAATTAAGATACTTTTTGCCAGTTAAGTACCTATGTTATAACTTTATTTTTAGTTATCCAACGAAACAAAGCCAAACTCGGCCCCCAGCATAATTTCGCTAGCAAATTTATGAAAAGAATGTTGTTATTGTCTTAGGACAGGCTAAACAAATAAAACTGCTTGTCCACAAACACTTTTCCTTGAGTTAATGGAATGCAAACATTGACAGTGGCAAATTGGTCCATAAATATCTGTGAGCAGTGTTCGAACCTCGAGGGCATCGTATCAGTGCGGGACGATCGCTATATCCGTCCGCAACTAACGATTACTGGCTTTGAATGCTGATTACCGTCATTATAATTAACAATCGATAGCTTCAAATATTTAACTAATTCCTCATTTTCTTTACCATAATTATTGTCACAAAAGAGATAGGTACAATTTTCTACATGCTCAAAGTACTGCAGTTTTTATCAGAAGATCGGAGTTCAACCTCTGCCTTGAACGGGCGGTATTCGATGCACATCTCTCGAGCGCGGCTCTCGGGCACTTGTTGTCGATGTAAGAAGCATCACAGATTATCGTATGACATTGACGGCGTACCTGCACGAATGCTAATGATTGTATAAATCTTCCTAATGCATTATTCCTCAACGACCTCTCGGAACGATCTGGAAAGGTTCGCCCGGCATACATCCACTTCCTGCATTACTTAGGTGAGTTACTGTATGATTTATCCTGCTTGAATTTTAAATCGCTTTTTAAAAATGTAAGCATTTGGTCTTGACTGTATCGTGTATCCTATTAAACAAGACAATAATCAAGGCTAGATTTAACTATGATTTATCATAATTTGGATTTATGTGTCGTTTGCTAGACGCGCAGCGTGACCCAGACAGCCATTTAACAGCACGAATCACGCTACTTGTATTGGTCTAACAAAAATGCTTAATTGATATAAAAATGGGGGTGGTGATATTTATTGGCTGCCTAAATTAATAACTGTTCTCAATCTGACATTTTTGAATTATGATCAATCTTGACATTCAAGTGTG